GTCGCACGTATGGTCCTAAAATGTCCGTAAGGATAGCGTTTGGGTTATTAAACAGACCTTACGGCAGGTAAAGCCTTTGACCCGTGTTCAATTCTCGGACGACGGTGAAGGTCACTTTCGTTGTACAGATGTCATCAGTACCTTGCGAAAGTGAAATATTGTTACTGTTTTACTGCTTGACAGACTGTCCAGGAACGATGCGGTGGCTGAACTGTGCTCTGGTATGTATATTCAAGTTGGCTTACTGCCAAAGTCCTCAGGGTAAATCATAAATAACACCATCATTCTCTCATTAGCCAGCGTGAAGAGCTGAATCGGTTAAATGGCTAGACTTGTAATCAGTACATTGTGGGTTCGATTCCCGGGATAACCAACTGAAATTACTAGGAATCTTTAAGACGAGACTTTAAAGCGAGATCCCCTGTATGAGTGCTTAAACACTTGGATAGGTAAAAAAGGAGTAGATTGTTTGTGGTCCTGCTTGGCTTTTGAACGTTGGTCATCCTGTGTTGCTAGATAGTGTCGGGGTTGCGTTCATTGAACGCCGCCTTCCTTGTTGATCTTGTTTTTCATATTTTTCTGAAATTAGGGCATTTTGCTATCTGTATCTTGCGCTGTCCTCCAACATCTAGAACGACTAATACTCTTCTGGAGGACTTGCCTATATGGGCAACCGATGGCGAGTATTTAGAAACTCAATTACACACACATATTCTCTCAGTTTTCACACACGTTCAGGGAGGTTTATAAAAGTTTTCAAGTTTCATTTACAATATTTTATTGAAAACTTTGATTTCAGAGTGTAATATACCTTCCAAAACAGAAAGCAAAGAAGGGGTGGGGAAGAAATCAGAGGAGAAGAAGGCAAGGAAAAATGCCAACAAAAGAGGGGGTGTGAATAACAGCCGAAAAATGGGATAGCATGCCATACGAATACCGTCCGACAGCCGACCAGATATCGCACGTATACTTTACCGTCACCGTACGATTGTTGCAAACAGGCCAGTAACGGTGGGTAACTGGACATTTATCGTAGGGTAGTCTGCCGGGTACCTTTAGAATATCGACCGGTGTCCAAAAAGAAGACGCCAAGGGTTTTCACCGGCTGGCCGGGCAAGTACCCTTCGAAAACCGTCCGAGTACCCTTCGGAAACCGTCCGAATACCTAACTGACCACAGAGGGAAAATGACCACCCACTTCTTCCCGGACATGATTGAAATGTTTCTCTCCGATCTCGAATTATCAACGGTGTCCCATCGATCCCTCTATATCGGCCGGTCCCCGCTTGTAATTTGACGTAGGCATAATATAATGCATGTTTTCCTTTCCGTTACTATGTAACTCTAATAGTCTCAAATGGTATTCGGTGTATTAACAATAATCTAAAGTTCACCTGTAATTTTTGTCAATAAATATAAAGTTGAAATGGTATGTATAATGTGTATGAAATAGTTTGTAGACTAATATTATATTTTCAAGGTTTAAACGACTATCTACAAACAAACGATATTTGTATTGATACTGATAATTAAAGTAACAATCAAATTGTCGCGGTTGATACGATAAGTGGTGTTTTGTGTTTACTGGAATATCTGCCTTTGCAAAAAAAGTATATTTGGTAAATACATGTACACAAGTAAGAGTAGGAACACAAGATAACCATCCTGTATGCAACTGTTTGTATGAAGCCGCAAACGATATTGATATACATGTATATTTTGTTTACAATAAAGCGTATTATAGACGCTAACTGTATTAACAGTTGTTGTCAGTAGAAACCAACCAAGGTATGTATCAAAATCATCCAGGCTTGACGATAATGCAAGGTTCTGATGATAATAATACAATGAAAAATGTAAGTATGAAGTATTTTCATTGGTTTGAGATTTTCACATGACCAATGAGATACTCAATTTGCTACACAAAAAACTTTCATTACGATAAAGAAACTGACATATCGGAAAAAGGTCCGTTAAAGTTTGCTTTGATGATTTGATTCAACATTTAAAGCGCAATACAAAATGTTATTCATTCATTTCGAATAATCTGCCGTTCAGTTAAACCCAGCGCTCACATTTCTGTTGTTCCTCACTTACGGAGACTTCGAGATTACATGTCTACTTATTACTTGAAATCATTGAAATGACAACTTTATTTCCTTTAAAGGTAATCATTTCCCTTAACATTTGGTACCAAGATTTGTATTTGGTAAAAAAGATGTTTGAGTTATGGAGCTCACATTTGAATTAGCTCTGAAAAATGAGTGGCGAGTGGCATACCTTCTCTTGATCTTAATGTAAATATATATATTATTATTTTATTCTCTTTTTTTTTTAGAGGGGATGGGGTGTAGCGACCAATTACACCTTCGAAACCCTGATTTTTTTTTTAAATCATACGATGTAAGCCGATTGTGAACAGGCCTTTTTTTTCAATTTCAACTTATTGACAGCAACACAGTTACATTATTTTGACCTTAATCAAATTCAGGATTAAGGCAATAAAAGGGCAACTTATAAAAGATCCAATCCCGCTTCTAATAGAAAACCCCATGTTGCCTCTACTATAATCATACTACCATTTGTACCATTTATTTATTTTTGATATCAAAATTTTCGCTCATCTAGGTTTTCATTTGCCAATAGTTTAACGAAAACATTATATTTATTCCTTGACAAAAATGTTACCAGTACTGCGTAAAATTTATTTGTCAAACGAAAAAAATATACATAATCGTATTTGTTCATTTTCAGGATGAAATAATAACTCTTTTACGACATTTTAAATCTAACTATGTATATAGATAACCAATAAATACGTTTAAGGGTAAAATTTATTAATATTAAAGACATATGAATAAATAACATAAAACATGCATATGAAATAACTCTTATCTGCACTGTGGCCTTTGCAACTTGCAAAGATGCAAATAGTGGTATGTCATCATTGATGATATGTCACCATTTATTGATTGTATGACATCTCTGGTGATATGGTACCATTTATTAATCTATGATATTATTAATGGTATGGGACCATTTATTGATTTATGATATCATTGATGGTATGGGGCCATTTATTGATTTATGATATCATTGCTGGTATGGCACCATTTATTAATTTATGATATCATTGATGGTATGGCACCATTTATTGTTTATGATATCATTGATGGTATGGTAACATTCATTGATTTATGATATCATTGATGGTATGGGACCATTTATTGATAACTGATATCATTGATGGTATGGCACCATTTATTGATTTATGATATCATTCATGGTATGGGACCATTTATTGATTTATGATATCATTGATGGTATGGGACCATTTATTGATTTATGATATCATTGATGGTATGGGACCATTTATTGATTTATGATATCATTGATGGTATGGGACCATTTATTGATTTATGATATTATTGATGGTATTGGACCATTTATTGATTTATGATATCATTGATGGTATGGGACCATTTATTGATTGATGATATCATTGATGATATGGTAACATGTATTGATTTATGATATCATTGATGGTATTGGACCATTTATTGATTTATGATATCATTGATGGTAGGGGACCATTTATTGTTTTATGATATCATTGATTGTATTGGACCATTTATTGATTTATAATATCATTGATGGCATGGGACCATTTATTGATTTATGATATCATTGATGTATAGTACCATTTATTGATTTATGATAGCATTGTTGGTATGTGACCATTTATTGATTTATGATATCATTGTTGGTATGGTAACATTCATTGGTTTATGATATCATTGTTGATATGGGACCATTTATTGTTTTATGATATCATTGATGGTATGGGACTATTTATTGATTGATGATATCATTGATGGTATGGCACCATTTATTGTTTTATGATATCATTGATGGTATGGTAACATTCATTGATTTATGATATCATTGTTGGAATGGTAACATTCATTGGTTTATGATATCATTGTTGGTATGGCACCATTTATTGTTTTATGATATCATTGATGGTATGGTAACATTCTTGATTATGATATCATTGTTGTATGGGACATTTATTGTTTTATGATATCATTGATGGAATGGGACTATTTATTGATTGATGATATGCATTGATGGTATGGCACCATTTATTTTTTATGATATCATTGATGGTATGGTAACATTCATTGATTTATGATATCATTGTTGGAATGGTAACATTCATTGGTTTATGATATCATTGATGGTATGGCACCATTTATTGTTTTATGATATCATTGATGGTATGGTAACATTCAATGATTTATGCTAGCCTATCATTGAAATTATAACACCAGTCATTGATGGATGGCACAATTGATGATATGGAACCATTTATTGATGGTATGGTAAAATGAGCAAGAGGCAATGGATGAATTTACAATGGCGACAAAAATATTGGTAAAAGTGGTAAAATACTGTTGATAATACGATGTTAATGTTGAAATAATTAACGCTATGACGACATGAGTAAATGACAAAAGACTGTCATCAATAATAGTTATCACAGATAATTTTACCTAAACACAATCAACTAAATTAATATCTAAAAACATGTTATTAGAAAAAATATTTATAAGCAAGAACACAAATGTAAAACGCATTATAAAAGGAAATTATATCATGTAAAAAAATATCAAAAAAAATCGAAATTGAACATAGATTTACATTCTATATTTCTAATAAAATGAACTGTTCATAATCACTATTATTAATTATAAACGTTTTGCACAATCTAATACTATCGTTCTATGAATACAAAAAAATATTCACCGAACCTTTTTGTAACCAATAATCAATAGTATTTAAAATATATTTTTCTATTTAAAACCCCAACATTGTTTACGTTCGTAAACATCTACATTGTTTATGAATAAGCAAAAACCGGTTTACAATAATAATTACGCGACTACATTCATAAACCACCTGTCATTTGAATGAAAATTATATAGTTATTCTTATTTTTTATAAAGCAAATACCTTCAATCTTTTAAATCAAATATTCAACTTGAATCAATATTTTTGACTATAGAATTGAAAAAAATTTAAGATCTTTTGTAACAGATATTGTATAATTTCAAAACTAAAACTGTATTGTCACATTGTTTTACAAAAGATATTTTTATAAATTTTATTGCGAGGGGGTCTTTTTTTTCTTTTCTGTAAACTGTACGTGTATAAAAGGTGCATAATCGTCATAACATTTTAATAAAACGTTAAACCAGCATATTTTATCAATTGATTTTATATTTATGCATGTTTTTACAATTCTTTGATGAAACATTTTCAATTATGAATATTCTTGTTATAAAACTGTCGTATGAACCAAGTGTTTATATCAAATGAAAAAAATATGAATTCACTTCAGTTTTTTTTCTGTATTAGTACTATGTAGTTACTGTGACCGTCTTTAATGCATACAATAGAATATATATATTGTTATTAATATAAATTCATAGAAATGTGACATAAAAATATAAGAAGTTTATAACAATGAGAGTTAGGCTGCACATAACACATTTTACAGATTATATTTTGTTTCATTTAAAGTGAAAAATCTTAATTTTTGTACTAAAAAAGATCAAGCAATCATTTACAGGTAAAACATAGGAAGGAAAAATTTTGAACATATATGGCTAGCAATACCATAAAGTATCAGTGCAAAAAAGAAAAGAAAAAAAAGAAAGAAAAGAAATCCACAAAAAAAATAAAAAAAATTGGCAAACAAACCTAAGCACAAAAATGCACGAAAAGATGAAAAATATCTAAAGGATATAACATCATCTTTTTTCAAAATCTTATGAATAAGGCCAATTTTATTATTTGACAGCTTATACCGTTCAGAGATGCATACATTAAATTGATGTTTAATGAATTGGAAACATATCCAACAGCCATGTTTATGTTAATTCATGAACGGTCGCAGTTCGGTGTACACAAAATGGTTAGATCTTGAAACTTAATCAATGCACCACGACCATTGATTACATTTATTGTTGTTATACATGTAATTATTATTTTTTGCATTCAGCTTTCCAGATATTTCTAATCATATCTGGTGTCATTGAATGTGCAGTGAATAATTTATTTCCTTTATATAGACATGCGTCTAATTTTGGTCTTTCAATATGAAAACCAGGTTTGTGTAACACGCTTCCCCCTATCAAACGTAAACAAAGAGAAACGTATATATCCTCGATGGGTGAAAAAATGGTTACAGTACATGAAATATTATAAATTTTCTTTACAACGTTCATACTTGTTGCATACGCTGTACCGGAAAAAATCCTGGATATTGTTTTTCTTTGTAGGAGCGTTCTGATGCGTACCATTTTGATTTTGAATTTCTGATTGGTCTTGCACTTTTAGAGCAGGATCCCGTGATTTTGTTTTGTAAGTCTTGAGCACTTGAGTTAAGATAAGCCAAAAGATTTGGAATGTTGATGTACATGTCGTCATCTGCTTTGAGAACAAATCTGGCATGGGGCACATTGTTGCTGCATATTTGAACCCCATCACCGTCTTATATGTCAGATTCATATACACGTCAACGAAATCTTCTTGTATGATATCATGATACGAGTTTGCTTCCTTTGTTAAAGAACTTTGATCCTTTTTCGCTTTTTTTTGACCCCTAAAAAACTAACGGACGTTTGCCGGGTTGGGTTTTTGGGAATGTTTGCCCAAGATTTTTCGAAAGATCCGTGCTTTGGGCATTTTTTGGCTTTAGTTTTAAACCCTTTTTAAAAAATCAATAAATTTTATTTGAATTTTTTTTCCCTTTCGATCAATTTGTTGTTTGGGTCCCAAAATCTAAAAAATGAGGAAAACAGTTTTCGCACCCTTTCTTTTAAATCTTTTTTTTTTGTGTTATTTCGCTGATACGGGTTCCCTTTTGGATATTTTTGTTTTTTTGAAATTAACATTTTTTGTTTTTCGCAGCGCATTAAATTTTTGTTTGAAAAAACTTTTTATCGAGGTTTGAAAACCCTTTTTTAAATAGTTTAAATTGAATAAGGAATATACACAAAATAAAAACGTTTTATATTATAAAAAAGGGAAAAGGGCCATTTTTCCCGACCATAATGGAAAACTCCCCCAGATTTAACCAAAAAGGTTATCAAAAAAAGTTTTCCCTTTTTTAAAACCTTTTTATTCAAAAATTTCCCTTTTTTTTATGTTTAATATCGTTTAAATGATTTTTTTTCCCAATTTTCCCAAATAAAAAATGGTTTTGGGTGGTAAATTTGGTAAAAATTTCATTTTCACGACTTTTCTAAATCTTCCTCCGAAACATTGAAAAAATTACCCTTTAGTAAATTTAAAAAGAATTTCTCATTTGTACGTTTTTTAAACGTCCCGACAAAAATCCCCGGGTTAAATTGGTAAATTTTAAATTAAAATTTTTCAGCTAATTTTTTTGGTTGTATTTTTTTTTTCATATTTTTTTTAAGAATGATAAAAACCAGAAAAAGGTTAGAAAAATAGCATGAAAATTTTTTTTTTTAAATTTTAATGTTTCCCTTTTTATAATTGAGTTAAAATCAGCATAATGCTAAATACCCCCTTTAATAATTTGTACAAAATCTTTTGAAATTTGTATGAGTATAAATTAGTCTTGAAAAAAAAACTATATACGCAGTTGCTTTTACATTTTTCCCACCGTTGTGGGTTCCCCGAGCCGGGGGGCGTCCCCGGGGTTTTTTTATGTAAAAAAAACATCGGTAACTAAGGAAGTCGAACGTGGGTGTTCTACCGGAACCCCTTTTGTCCCTTAAATAACGCCCCCGGAGGGACACGGCTGTTTCCCCCCAGAAAAGCTTGGAAATCGTATCTCTTTGGTGTGACGTGCCCCAATCAAGAAAAAAATTAAAAACAATTACTTTTGTTATTGTATGGACATAATAATGAGCTATACTGACTATTTTGACATAAAGTATCTTTCCCTACGATCCATTTGATCTAATGGGACATTTTAAAAGAATAAAATGTTGTATATTTATGCCCAACAAACTCTTAAATACTAAAATCATGAAATGTTGTAGTTAAAGAATAAAATATAATTTCTATGTTTGGAGAGATATATATAGCTGCTTGTTTGTTTAAATACAATTCTATGTGCCGAAAAAGACCTTAAATATGTGTTTTTCCTCCAGTACAATTAATTTGTTTTGTAAGTCTTTTCTAAATACATGTATAAGGGTTTTTGTTAATTTTTTAATCGACAGCTTGTACTTCGTATTTTTCCGTTAGAGTATCGGATTGATCACAATGACGCTTTATATTTTACTTGTCACGGAAAGAGACGGATGTTGCCGAAAATTTACGAGTTTATGTGCTGAATAACTTTTTTTTTAAAAAAAAATGCGCATTATCGGGACAAATTGATTTTTATAAAATGCATTAGGGGCTGTCAAAATAAAACGTTTAAAAATTTTGGGATTTAAGAAATTAAATACTGTAAAATTACTCTTCTCACCAAAATGCTTATTTTTCTCCAACTATAAAAATGGGGATTAAAAGTACGGGGGATCGCCATTATATTAATTTCATAGATTGATGGGATCATAATACAGGGGAAATTTTAAAAACTTTAGGGAGCAGACATGAAAAAAAAAACCCTTAGGAAAGGAAAATTCCTGACTGTCTAACAATAGCACGCGTAGGGAAATTCAACTGCCTCGTCTGCATTTACTTTTCACATGCGTAAAATTGGTTGAATTATAACTTCGTCTTAAAAAATAATAAAAGCATGTTCAAATAAAAAGTTAAATTTTTTAATTTTTATTAAAAGAGTCATGGTATAATGTATATACATGTCGGGGGTAAAAGACACATGGTAGTACATGTATTTAGTTACACGTCGGTCTGTGGGGTAAGAGCAAAAATATCATCCAAAAGAAATATGTTATCAAAGACTACATTAAATACTTTAATTCAAATACATATGTTTTTTTATCTGATTACCCCGATCAGATGTTATAATGATCTTATATTTTTCAGCTACATGTAACTGTAACAAAATTGAATCAACAGTAGTTTCGTTTCTAATCTTTTATTCTTCGAGAAAATTTTGATATCTACCAGTCCAAAAAAACCCAACATCATACAATGAGCCGTGTTTCATTCAGAAATAAATAAAAAAAAACACTCCGATTTATACGGGTTATTTACAGTGAAATCTGATCATTTCTAGAATATTCTTCATCAGTTTTCTCTATTTTTTGACAATGTGAAAACTATGATATATCCTATATTTGACTTGTGTTTTAGATTTATCTACCACACATTTGGCGTTTTCTCAGAAGAAATTTGTTAAATAATCCTTTCAGTGCGAATTGCCATCGTCTGGTTGTTCGAATTTCACAGATTTTTCTCCTGCAATTACTTCCGCTGCTAACGGATGTTTAATTTTTTACTATTCAACCAACATGACCAAAAAAGGTTGAAGAAGCGAGGAACTTTAGATTACAAACAACTTAATCTTTCTGGTGCTAATAGTCACTCTGGTGATGTCCAACAACTTAGTGAACTTCGAAATATTTAGAGACTGAATTGAAAAAAACAAAACGATGGAGATCATTTTTGTTTTTTAGAAAAATGTACCACTTGATCAAATTTTTACTGTTCAAAAAGTCTTTTACCTATGTAACATAATACTTTATTTGGTTGTATCGTACACTTGCATTAATTCGACAGCAAGGGCCGATAGGAAATTGTAATTATGATTCCAACCAATACAATTACAAAAGTGGATAATAATAATAATATAACGTGTCAGTTTCAGATTGCTTAGTTTACAAATTATATGATCTCCCTTGGACACAAAAACTAAACATAAAGAAATATATGGTACATCTTAACAAACGAAAACAGTACGGCTTCATTGACAATAAAGACCACATTGGCAACATTTCGTAACACCAGGCTACATATTTTTGCCTGGTACAAATTCTTAAATTTACTGTTACCCTATCATCGTTACATGTTTACAATTTTATCTATCATTATTTTTGCATTATTTTTGTATTTCATAATATAAAAGTGGCTTAAGCCTCTATAACTCACACGGAGACCCTTGGTTCGAGCCCAAAACTACGGTTTTTGCTTCCACACCATCAGAATGTCTTGCGGGGCGGGAAATAAGGCATCTTCTGACAAAATAATGCAAATGGTTATACAACCAGGAAATCATATGCAGACCATGTAGGTTTCAGAAGAACCAGTGTCAAAAGTGAACCCAAATAATATCTCTGCTCATTCAAGATGGCCGCCATTTTAGTCAGCACAACTAATTCGACATTGATTTATATACGCTCATTGTATAATTGTCTACACAATATGGTTTAAAAATTTACCTGTTCATGTTACCCTTCATGTACATATAGAAGCTATACAAACAATAACTGCCTAGGTTTATAGATACTATCTCTTCAAACATGTAATAGGATAGCTCTTTACGCCATTTGATATGTTCACAGTGGCCTTAAAATGTAGTCCATTTTAGCAAATGAAATACATCTTCTAAATTAAATATGTGACTTGAAATTGTAAATTTTGTCTCTATAAATGCAACAATAGTAAAATGTATTGACTTAGTGTAACACCTTTAGGTGAATCAAGTTATTCTCTGTTTAATGACTGACCAGGTTCTGCCTATTATGTTTAACAAGTCAAATTTCAGTGGGTTCTATTCATGTTCGAAATAAAAAACGCTGAGACACTTGATACTTGACCTTTATGGGGGTTGATTTTAATGAAAAGAAACTATTTGTCTAACGATAGCGTGTTGCATTTAAATTTCACATAAAATACCTTCAGGTAATGTCATGTACATGTATATTTCTCCTTTGTCTAGCCATTTCTTTATTCTATTTATCGCATGGTTAGGAATTACTTTTTATATGTTCTTACTAACCCATTATATTCAGTACAATTAAAATGAGGATTTGAAAACTGTATTTATAGCGAGCTCGACGAGCTGGCCCGAAGGGCCTGCTCGCAAAGAGAGCTTTACGGTAACGCGAGTACCTTCTAAGTGATGGTTTTGAAAACTTTCGTCCGAGTTACCGAATTGGACACATCGCAACCTTTTGAATTTAAAGATAAAGATAAAAACTGCGGAATTCTGACTGAAAACGGATGTGTAGACTAGTCATCCGCGCACGTCTATGGGAACCATAATTAGACAGGGAACCAGAATAACGGAAGCTGTGTATAAAAAATAATATGAAATAAGGCAAAGCCTATGAACGGGGAAGTCGGTAAAAAAATCCTTTCATTTTTCTGTTTTAAAGGTGTCATTCGGTATTATATATACCCACTTCCGTTTTCACTCGGAACACTCGACGATTATTATTAATCCGAAAAGTTGAGAATTTGTTCCGTTATCGGAATAACACCGCCTTTTTATCATTGAGCTTACATTGTAAATGGCGCGGCGCCTAAAACTAGAACTGACACTGAAAAAAATTTCATTGATAGGTATAGAATTCTATATTTTTTTAGTTGTTTTTTATTTGAATTTTCTTTTAAATATACACGTGTAGTCTATAGCCGGGCAAGCCAAAACCCAGACCCGTTTCGCGGGCCCGGTCTTTGACTTCCCCGTAAAAATTGAAGGCGCCATTTTGTTTGAAAAATCTGATAAATAAAAACAATTTTTTGTCGAATTTTGTTGTGAAAATTATCTAGAATGAAAGAAAATGGACTAACTCAGAGAATGAATCCGGACACCAATATCTTTTATTCAGTCATTAACGCGGTACAGACGTTTAAAGTATTGTTTACGTGACGTCACAATGTAGCGCCAATCAGCACGTGCAAAACAATCAAGTACGCTATTTCAATGTCGCAAACGGTTTAAGTTTTACATTATTTTCAGTTTTAATAATCTTTATTTCGCATGAAAAATTATAGAGTGAACTAAAATAAAAAACAAAGTAACAAACAAAGTTTTATTCACGTTTTCAAAATTCGTTATTAATTTAACGACAGGGGCGGAGCCATATTTACCACAGTACGTATGACGTCACACGCACTAGTAGCTGCACTTGAAATTTTAAAAATGAGCGATTATTACATACTATTTCACGTTAAAAGTACATCGAGCTCGCTTTGAGGCTTTGCCTTTTTCATATTATATAACAGTGCTTTTTTTCCATTGATTCAGATAGGGAAAAACAAAACTGATATATTACAGTTGGATTATTTTACTACTGTTATATATATATCAAGTAGTTATGTTTACAGAGGTTGGAATGGGACGAGTGTTTCACATAGATTAATAGCGAGCTCGACGAGCTGGCCCGAAGGGTTTGCTCGCAAAGCGAGCTTTACGGTAACGCGAGTACCTGCTAAGTGATGGTTTTGAAAACTTTCGTCCAAAGTACCGAATTGGACACATCGCAACCTTTCGAATTTAAAGATAACGATAAAAACTGAGGAATTCTGACTGAAAACGGATGTGTAGACTGGTAACCCGCGCACGTCTATGGGAACCATAATTGGACAGGGAACCAGAATAACGGAAGCTGTGCATAAAAATGAAAATCGAAGGCGCCATTTTGTTTGAAATCTGATAAAATAAAAACAATTTTTTGTCGAATTTTATTGTTGTGAAAACTATCTAGAATGAAGAAAATGGTCTAACTAAGAAAATGAATCCGAACACCAATATTCTTTTATTCAGTCGTTAACGCTGTACAGACGTTTAAAGTATTGTTTACGTACGTCACAAAGTAGCGCCAACAGCACGTGCAAAACAAACAAATCAAGTACGCTATTTTAATGTCGCAAACGTTTTAAGTTTTACATTTATTTCACTTTAAATAATCTTTATTTCGCTTGAAAAAAATTATAGAGTGAAATAAAATAAACAAAGTTTTATCAACGTTTCAAAACTCGTTAGTCATTTTCACGACAGGGGCGGAGCCATATTTAACACAGTACGTGTGACGTCACACGCACTCGTTAACTGCATTTGAAATAAAAATGAGCGATTATTTTATACTATTTCACGTAAAAAGTACATCGAGCTCGCTTTGAGGCTTTGCCTTTTTCATATTAGCGAGCTCGACGAGCCGGCCCGAAGGGCCTGCTCGCAAAGCGAGCTTTACGGTAACGCGAGTACCTGCTAAGTGATGGTTTTGAAAAACTTTCGTCCAATAGAGTACGAAATTGGACACATCGCAACCTTTCGAATTTAAAGATAACGATAAAAACTGAGGAATTCTGACTGAAAACGGATGTGTAGACTGGTCACCCGCGCACGTCTATGGAACCATAATTGGACAGGGAACCAGAATAACGGAAGCTGTGTTAAAAAATGAAAATCGAAGGCGCCATTTTGTTTTGAAATCGGATAAATAAAAACAATTTTTTGTCGAATTTTGTTGTGAAAACTATCTAGAATGAAAGAAAATGGTCTAACTAAGAATGAATCCGAACATCAATTTCTTTTATTCAGTCGTTAACGCTGTACAGACGTTTAAAGTATTGTTTACGTGACGTCACAATGTAGCGCCAAACAGCACGTGCAAAACAAACAAATCAAGTACGCTATTTTAATGTCGCAAACGTTTTAAGTTTTACATTTATTTCACTTTAAATAATCTTTATTTCGCTTGAAAAATTATAGAGTGAAATAAAATAAACAAAGTTTTATCAACGTTTTCAAAACTCGTTATTCATTTCACGACAGGGGCGGAGCCATATTTAACAGAGTACGTGTGACGTCACACGCACTCGTTACTGCATTTGAAATAAAATTGAGCGATTATTTGAATTTATTTCATACTATTTCACGTAAAAAGTACATCGAGCTCGCTTTGAGGCTTTGCCTTTTTATATATTCAGCTGGCATGGGCTCATTTTTTAGAGTTTACATTTGAATCAAAAGGGAAAGGGCACAATATAGCAATTATAGACGCTGCGTGCACGTGGCGTCTAACAGAAATGCATCCGTCTATTTAGCAATGAGGAAAATTTTAGTCTTGATTTTGTGTATTATTATTATTTATTTTTTTAACAATTCAAATTTTTTAATAAAAATAGCTTTTCTGATGTACAACATGTCACCGAGCTTTAAGGAATTAAAATAAACGTTTAACTGAAGTGATGGTGCCATAATTTAATATCACATTCTTTTTATCATTATTTCATTTTATTTACATAATGAATAACGTGTTAATGAACCAGTCTATATTCTAATGACGGGAACCAAATTCATACAGGGAACAAGGGGTATGACTAAAATACGCAACGGAGATTTTTGGCGCAACGGGCGCAACTGAAATATTTTTTGCAAGTCAAAACAGTCAAAACGTGTGCTTATACGTAAAATAATTGATATTTAAGTAATAAAACAGGCTGAGTGTAAAAAATTAATTTGTATTAAAATGTATCACAAATATTTGCGATAGGTTATTTTGAAGCATTCTGTGACGACTGTTCTCTTTTGCCTAGATATTTTATTATATTTAGGCAAATATGAAATCTTGTGTTTAATCAAGTAGTTTAATCTTTTATAAAGAAGTAAACATTACGTAAATAAGAATTGATTGTGTTTAACAATTTATTCATAACTATTATTTGAAATTACAGATATAAATTTTGCTATTTGTAAAAAAACAGAACAGTTCGTCCTCAAAATCGTTCGATCATAATACAATTCGCATCAATATCTAAATGGACATATTTCCGGTCCAACGGAGATATTTTTTCTTTACACTGTCTTTGTCTTGAATTTATTTTAAGTAAACCAATCATTTCATTTGTACTTCTTATTAAATTTATTTTGCTTCGACCAGACCTTTCAATCTTTGTCGCGACAACGAGCACATAACAAGAACATGGAGACTAATTTGATTAGTGCTTCGGATATTCCACTGTAATAGAGAACAATTGTCAAGACTGACTTTGGGATCATCTGTGACTGTTCACTTCATTTAGCGGCGTCTTTGATGTGCAGCATCAATATTTAACTTGTTTTTTTTATTTGTTTTTTTTTTTATCTTTGTTTCAAAAATATGAAATTGCGATAATGAAACTTGTTAGTTACGGGGATATATCTCACTGGCTTGGGTGACATCTCTTTATGTGCTGCAAAAAAATCGCATCGGACTAACGGTGTGGACATTTTTTTAGCAGAAACATCCCTAAATGTCGCCCCAGCCAGTGTAAGATTCATGTAAGGAACTCATTTCATATACTTTGGAAATAATCTATTTCATAGTAAAAACCAAAACAAAGTATCTACTCTTTTCACATTTATTCGTTAATTTATATATAGACCAAAATCACATCAGTGTTTCTGTCGAAAAGTGAAAACATAAACATTGACTTTGACACTACCTATTATTCATAATCGCTTTTACATATTTGATACATGTATATATTTTTACAAGCGATTTGAACTTTAATGATTGAATATAAAAAGTCGGACCTAATCGTTCGATTTCTATTGCTTTTTGCGTTATCATCCGAAGCAATTATACTACGCATGAGGATTTTTAAAAGTCCACCTTAATCCTTTTTAATAATTTTTTATCCCCCTCATGCCGAGTGCTTGTATCACCATATGAATAAAGATATCCTTTAACCCTGCTTAGCATAAGCATGTGAGTGAATTTTTTTCAATTCATTCAAATTTATAAAAGTGACTGAGTATAATATCGGAGGCACTAAATGAGTTCATGATTGATTGAACGACTTGGTGGTCATCATTTTAATTTTGTTTAAATTGCGTGTAATGTAATGGTCAAGTAGCAAGTTTACTGGAGTGCTTAAACTATTTTGGCATTCATTGCCTACATCAGGCATAATTTTAGTGACAATTTCAGCCAAATTACAGGTTGTTTTTCATGGACTCGCGCGTCATATGCCATGAAATAGTCTTTTGAGCGTAGTGCAAGTGTTATGTATGCGGAATGCACGGATACTTGAGCTGCTATATTAAATTATGTCAGGTATGTATATATCTATAAAATTGATTTGTTTTCATTAATATTTTACATGCAGACGATATCTATTAGTAATGATGGATTAAAACCTAACGTAGATGAAATGGTACATGTACTTAAATAAGGTGTCAGCCTCTCAATCCAAGGATATTTGATTCGAGACAAACTCGGCCACGACCTAGCACATCAGGACCCGGTTGTTCAAAACATTGGTTAGTGTTAACCAGTGGTTAAATTCATTATCCACTGGTTAAATTTTGTCTGTTGGATAAATTCTGTTGCTCAAAACTTATCCAATGGATAAAATGTGTTATCCAGTGGTTAACTTTAACCAGTCCTATGACCACCGGATAATGCTTTGAGCATAATAGTTTTGAGCAGCAGAATTTATCCAACAGACAAAATTTAACCAGCGGATAATGAATTTAAACACTGGTTAACACTAACCAATGTTTTGAACAACCGGATTTAGATAATGCCCTTAACCAGTGGTTAGTCAAAAAATGAAACTCAACATGACTCCCCAGTTTCATCGTCAAGGTTGTTATTTTAACGTTCATTCGCAGTTTTCTCCACGAGAGTGCAAAACCAAAAAAATAACGACATATTTAACTTTTTCGCATCTTTGTGTTTGCACACTTTCGTGGCGAAAAAATGAAACTCAACATGACTCCCCAGTTTCATCGTCAAGGTTGTTATTTTAACGTTCATTCGCAGTTTTCTCCACGAGAGTGCAAAAACTAAAAGTCACGACATATTTAACTTTTTCGCATCTTTGTGTTTGCGCACTTTCGTGGCGAAAAAAAAATGAAACTCAACATGACTCCCCAGTTACATCGTCAAGGTTGTTATTTTAACGTTCATTCGCAGTTTTCTCCACGAGAGTGCAAAAACTTAAAGTCACAACATATTTAACTTTTTCGCATCTTTGTGTTTGCGCACTTTCGTGGCGAAAAAATGAAACTCAACATGACGTTAATCATCCACGTAGAAAAAATGGTGTAAGGCATTTCCAATTTTATTTAAGTTACAGAATGAAATATCATGCAAAGCTTTGGAGGCAATTTTTATCATTATGGAATCAAATAAACTAAGATTAACTTAAACTTAGAACTATTTAAATAGCCTAAACAAGGGGTATTATTATCTATGTAATACTATTTATTCATTCCAGATCTCGGTAACCATTCAAGACGCAAATGGTTCTCATGGAGGGTTTTGATTGGCTTATTTCTACTAGGCGTATGTTTACTTGCAATTAGATCATTTTTTAGAGTGAGTATGGGTTTTATAAATATTTCAAACTTTTTAATAAAACGCCTTTTTACTTCAATCCATACCATTTTGCTTCAGCTTAAACCTTTTTAAGTCAGTTTACATTTGTTTTACTTCCAACTTGAAACTCACATCTTTTACTTCAAACTGACACCATTTTACTTTAAACTCACATCTTTTACTTCAAACTTATACCATATCTATCGCCGTATATAGCTATAATCGAATACAGCTCACCGTAAGCAGTACTGTGTACTACAAGATGCCGTATAGTGCCGTATATGGTTCACACCAAACAATTTAAAAGATGCGGCATATCGCCGAATATTTAGTATAGCTAACACCGGGATAAAGATTATATTAACACCACTATCACTACCATCCCCACTATTACTACTACATGTTCTTCTTCTGCTAACGCTAATAACAATAAAAGATCAATATTAAACATATAAGCCTCTGTAATAGCAACCAACTATACTACATTTATACGTTTAGACAAAATACTTTTCTCGAAAGTGGATATTGATACATGTAGCAACGTAAACGGCTACGTTGTCAGCTACTGAAAACAGCTCATCATAAGCTGTATACGTTTTCAATTAGCGTAAAAAGATTACATACGGCGTAATCTGTAAACGACGTATTACTGCACAAACAATATGAACAGCATGTCAATGAATCAATAAATTTATTCATTCATTCATTCATTTATTCAAAAATCATTTACTTAATTAATTTCAGTTATACATTCACTCATTCATTCGTCCATCAACCAACACTTCCTTACTTTCTTCCTTCGTTCCTCTATTCTTTCCTTCCTTCTGTCCTTCCTTCCTAATTTCAGTTAATCATTCATGGATGCATGATTTATTAATTCATTTTTTCCTTTTAAATATATCTTCCATTATTGCATTGATATTTCATATACACTTTGATTTCTTTGCAGGATATTTCCGAAGATAATGATCATCTTTCTAGTCAACTTCCTACAATAAATGAAATAGAAAAAATACCGCATTTAGAAAGCGATGTATCTAGGCAGGCAATAGCATTGGCTAAACTCATTCGTAGTGCCAAAAAACATGCAAGAGGATCAAAAACTTTAGATTATTTAATGCAGGCGTCTGACACAATGGACGCTTTACTGACACACATGAATATGGACCCAAAAAGTGTGTACCAAAGATCGTTAAAAACACCAACAAGTGTTTGCCCCGAACAATTCAAAGACGGACATGCTGGTTGGCCTTTATACCATACTGGGTTTGATAAAGTAGACTGTAGTTATTGGCAACCTTTATCGAGTCTAATAACTATCATAAAGAGCATCAAAAGTGATGATAGAAAACTTAGTGAAAACTTTGAAGAAGCTAAAACATTTATTTCGTCTGTCTCTGAAACCTTTGAAAATGTTAATGTAATGATTGCCGTGAGTTCAACCGTATTATCAAATCAAATCAAGCAATCGTTTAAAAAGTTGAAAGTAATATCATATGAAGGTGAGTCTGAAGGTATTGGATTAAACAAGATTATATCATCAGTAAATACACCATATCTGCTCATTGCAAGAAATGTCGAGTTTATGACAAATGACTCCAGATTAGTGAGACTCATAGCGGCCAAAGAAAGCTTAGATGTTGCATATGTTGGGGCATCATTCCGATATAGAAATGGTCATTGGAGGAAAGGTTGTTATCAAAGTGTTTATAGAAACTTTACATTAAAATATAAGGAGGGGTATGACGAGTCCTTTCAGGGATGTATGTATTGTGACTATTCAAAAGGCCCATTTTTGACATCGACTAAATATATAAAAAGAAATTCATTTAAAGATTTGAATGAAGACGAAGGCTTGTTCGAGGATTGGTTCTTAAGAGTTTATCAAAAAGGTGAGGAAGGAATAGTTTGTCCTGATTCCATGTTTGACACAACTCCCCGTCCGGTGTCAAGTGAAAGTTGGAATTTGTTTCTTGATATTTGGAACTTATTTCAAATACGAATACCTGGTGGCATCACAGTCAGGAAAAGGTGTGGAAACAAGAAAAGCTCATCTTCCTCATCTAAAGCTATGTCACTTTGCAAGTATTTAGACACAACAGAAGCAGTTAAAGTTGCAATGAGATCATGCGAGGAAGTAGGTATGATTTGCGAGCTTCAGGAAGGAACTATGTTAGGTGCTGTAAAAATGGAGAAGACACTTCCTTGGGATGTTGACTTTGACATTAGATTTATAACAAATAATTGCTCATTATGTAAGAAACTTGCAGACAAGTTTAAAAACAATGGTATGTCTTATGGAGATTTTGTCACACCGTGTTGCACTAAGGTCCTTATACTAGGTGAAGCTAATTACGTAGGTGTTGGCTATAAAAGGGCCGGTGGTGACATAACTTGGCATCCTACTCTTGACTCTGAAATATACTCTAAAATGGGTTTAAAGCCAACGAAGATCTTTTTCGATGGTGAATGGTTAAACGTACCTAGGAACCCTGGATTTGTTTTGAGAAATAGATACGGACTAGAACTGTTTCAACATGCGGAACATTGGAGATTTACTGATGGTAACAAAGGAAATAGTAGATTAACGTATAAAGTGTTCAGGTTTTCATCTTGTAGTACTCCTGGAAGACATGAATGTTTAGATAGATATAATCCTGATGGAAATATTCAGTTTAAGGGTTTGTTACCCTAATGTATATTATGCCATAGTCAGTGCACGACCTCCGCATGACTTTTGCTTTATATTAGTACATTTATGCCAAACAAGAAATAACAACTTCGGAGTTCAATAAATACAAATAGTGGTCAAAAATGCCTTTGTGTATAATTCATTTCCTTTTTGCAGTTTTATTTGGTGTTTGAAAACGTTTTTTGTCTTTTTTATCATTTGACTGATCATTATTGTGTCACCTCTATAGAGAAGCGGCGACATATAGGGATCACTCCTCCGTTGTCTGTCTGTCGGTCCATCCGTCCGATCGTCACAAAACTTGTCCGGACCACTCCTCGGAAACTTCTGGTGCAAGTTCATCCAAACTGTACAGGAATTATCAGTGCTAAGTCTAGTTGTGCATATTTGAAAGTTCAAAGGTTTTTGATAGAGTTATGGCCCTTTAATGATTCGTATTTTCAATTTTGTCCAGACTACTCTTATACCACACTAATGCAATGTCAATGTATCTTTACAGGATTGATTGGTAGCGCAAGTACTTGCGCATAATGCACGAGTTCTCCGCTTGAATGTTTTTGGCTGAGTTATTAATCATTGAATACAAGTGTGTGTGTTTTTTTTCCCAGCTAAACAGAAGCTTGTTCACCTATTAATGCAATTTAATCAAAACTTTACAGGAATGATCAGTACTAAGTCTAGATTGTATATCATTGACATTTTCAGGTTCAATGTTTTTTGTCAGAGTTATGGCCCTTAAATGTTTTCTTAGTCCTCTCATACCAGATATACAATTTCAATGAAACTTTACAGAATTGAATGGTAGGTCAAGAACTTGCGCATAGTACACGAGTTTTTCGCTTGAATGATTTTTGGCTGAGTTATTGCCCTTGGATAATTTTTTTTTCGGACTATTTCTCTTACACTACTCAACTTGATAAAATTCGACTTGAAGATAGTATGTTTGTGTAATTTTGAACATTTTTAATTATAATTGTTAATTTGCAAGACATGGGCATTTTCCTGTTGATCGAAATGCTGATATTCCTTCTAAAATTGATTCTTATTTTGATCCTATTATTTTTGTATCTGCTTTGTTATTCGTTGTTTTTATCACGAAATAGAGTTATTCTTTGCAAATCAGCATTTTCTTACATTTTGTTTATGTACCATTCATAATTCAAGCAAAATATGATATCGTGCGCGCGAGTTAATTATCTCGTTCGCTTTACATAGTAACTTGTGCCCACGACATAGTATCTAGTGTGCACGACTCAGTTATGGAAGCCTTGGAGGGTCACTTCTGAGTTTCGACTAATAGATTTATTTTACTATTTTCTTATGACTTTTGATTTATGACTTTTGATTTATGACTTTTGATTTATGACTTTTGATTTTTGACTTATGGATTTTATTTCCCACGTGCTTGCCATTATAATCATAATTTCCAAGGAAAATATGGTAGAATATGACAACGATTCAGACGAGGTAAGTTCATTTACCTAAGTTTCCTGGAGACTTATTTAAAAGACAAAATATGTGGGCTCATATGCCAGAACAGAATGTTATTCTTATATAAGCCTTTTAAATTGATTAAGAAAAGAAAATACTTTGCTTGCATTGCATTGTATTGGGTATCCACTTTTTATTTTGATTTTCGGAACAGGGATATATAATCTCAAATTGACATACAGCGTATGAATCAAACGCTTTATTTTTATATGGGTTCCAGTTTTAAATCTAAACCAGTCTCGCATTGTTGTTTGCTGCAGTTACAATCGGTTTTTAGCCGTAGTTCATTCTTCGTCCATCTAATAAAGACCAAATTATAGGCCTTATTTTGACAAAGAAATTTGTGGTTAATATATAAGAAAGTTCATGAAACATGTTTTTTCAAAAACAATAAATCATACAGCTTTGAAACTTCACACACTTGTTTAGAACACGCTCTAAGTTAGAAATCTCTGAATTGCATTGTTATCAAATTATGCCCCTTTTTCGATTTTGAATTCATGTTTTAGAATTTTCATGAAAAATGGTTTCTCAAACACTATTTTAGCGATTCCTTTGAAATTAAGTGTTGACATCTAATATCAATTACCAAGTTTCGTATGAGTGGCGCACAATTTGACATACTTATGCCGATTTTTAAAGCTAAAATATTTTGTCAGATGGTTTATGAAATATGGTCCCATAAACCAGTTATGATATAGTATTAAAACTTTATTCACTTCTTCAGTATCAATAACTTAGGTCACATACAAAGTAAAAAGTACATGTTATTTGTATATAAACTTTTGTATACAGTTATGTATTAAGGGATTTTTTTTTGTATTTCATTTTGTACATATATGTATTTCATTTCAATAGAGATAACACATTCATTTACTGTTTTCAGTTTAAATTCTAGTAAAGCTACCTGTAGGAATTAAGGACGTGCTGTCGAGTGGTTTCAATTACAAAGCAGTTGCAAGAGCATCAGCAATACATATTTGTCAAGTTTTCGGAGCCAGTTTAGAAGACTAAGAGGTTTCATGACAAAACAGCGTTCGTTCCGAGTAGAAATCAGTACAGTTTAGCAAATGCAAAATGTCAAAACTCTAGTGATTTGGTTTTCTTCGTTATTGTCTATGGAAAGATTCAGACATTTTTGGAATACGAGCGTTACCTTTTCACACTTGTTTCAGACACTCGATAAGTTTCAAGTTTTAACCCCACCACTTATTGTACCAGTTATTGTGGACGCTGTATTGGAAACACGCAATGTCACGTCCCGCCACGTTTATTTTATACTGTCCATACCTCCAATATGGTACAAAACTTGTATCGATATACAGGTCATGGTGAGACAGAGAAAAGTGTGAAAAATCATGAATTCATAATTCTGGCTTTCATAATTTTCAGTATTTGCCCATTGTAAATTTTAAAACTTAAAAGAAAGGTATCGAAATCAAACTTTGAATGTTCATATAGCTTGGCGAGGCAGAAAGAAACATACTTCTTGCTATCATAGCTACATTTTAGAAAGTCCTCTTTGTTGTTGATATTTTTCTTCTTTTTTTTTTCATACTTAGATTTTGTTAAACTCATAATTATCTCAAAAACTGTTGGAGGCATCAACTTGAAAATTACTTACAGATATATCTCGGCGAGACAGAGTGCATTGTGTTGTTAACAAAACTTTTGATTATTATATTTAATCGTTCTTCTAAGTTAAACATTCCCTTTTTCGACATGCTGTGGATTGGGGGTATGCTCATTACGAAAGACTATGATATTTCCATCACATATAAAGTCGGTTATTCTTCGAAAAAAAAACGAACTTGTGGACGTTATTTAATATATGCATTATACAATGTATACAGTTTCTTAAAGTTAACTAGGAAATTTTTAGCTAGAGACTGTTATTGTTTTTTTTAAAATCTTGACTTCAATAATAGTACAGTCACTCTAGCGTTGCTAGTTTACCTAATTTATCTTATGTTTTCAAAAGCTTCGTTAGATCACTCATGATTTTCTTAGATTTTCATCAGTAACGTATCAACGATGTGTTGTTTTGTAGAAATATTGCATGTATATATGTCGTCTGTGATGTAAATACTTGATGTTTTTGTTGATGGCAGTGTTTATTTTTGGCTGTCCTTAGTGTTAGCTTTTAAGTAAGGCATGCGTGCTATTTTAGAAAAAAAAATGCTTACCTCTGTATTTCTTATCTCTGTTTTTAAATTAAATATAATGAAGCTCAAATTCAGTTTGTTTTGCCTATCTAATACATTTGTTTTCTTATAAGACAACAATTTTGTTAAACAAAATAAAGCACGGTTGTAGAATAAAAAAATGTTTGTTGTTATCTGTTTAAACGCATATATTCCAAACAATAATTGATAGCTTTGCCAACCTGTCACGGTCAAGACCGTGAGGTAAAAACCTTTGGTAGTGTGGTTTCTCGGTAGAGGTATATTTAGGTAGTCTGTTGAGGGAGTTGGCTGGTTCCACACAGTTAACATCTATAGTGATTGCTATTCTACTTCTCTACTTTGCTCATTTCAACCTCTTACTTATAATTTTAATAGAACACTATCTCTACATAGATAAATAAATTCTCTGTAACATTTAAATACTGTTTATTCCGGTGGGAAATTGCAAGTCTATTTTGGTTATAACAAAGTTACAATAACACAATAATAAATTGTCAACAAATGAGGAAAATGTCTTTTTATCATTCAGGACCAGATTTAATATGATAATGTAAATAAGTACAAGTTGAAGTAGAAATCATCAAGAGTTTTCAAGTTATATTTGTGTCAAACCCGTTTTCTAAATTTTATTATATACCTCTAAATTTTCTTCCAACGGATAGAAAATTCCATATTATGTTAGTGACAAATACGGAACCATATATGGAAATGCCGGATTATTTTTGACATTGGTTCCGATCTTAGCTGTGTCTTACGTAGCATTAGGAAACGGGAACCAAAATTATAAGAGGTGTCGCCGGTTTTGCATAAATTACGTATTCATCCGTCAGTCATAAATTTATTTTTTATTTTCTGAAATTTCTTATAGAAGTGCAGTTTAATGAAAATCATTTTTACTAAAAACGAAAAGATATATTATAAAAGTAAAATTATGTTGTAGTAGCTTTCTGAGGCTATGCATTTTTCTACTTGCAACATTGGAAAATTGATATCGGTCTCGCGAGATATCAATTTTCCACCGCTGCTTGTAGCAATATACAAAGCCTTAAAAAGCTACTACTACATAATATTCCGTACATATATCTCCTTTATTTTAATGTATTATAATGCCTAACGCTTGTACCCTCTTTAATAGTCAACGCGGAAAAAATAGCGTACCAGTCAACAGTGACTAACTTCAGCAAGGAATTAAATAATCTATTTCAAGGTGTAAAATGTTAATAAAAAATTGTAATAAAGCTACACATCTAGAAAATAGCTAAGAACTGTTTATACTGAATAAAAAATTCGTAATTTATCAAGAATAGTTTATTCACTTTAATACTTAATGCTGCAGACGGCACTTATAAATGAATGTCCCGAATTAAAACTTCTATACATATGATTTCACATTAACAATTGATGTTGATTCTTCACGTAAAAAACGATCAACTATGATAAAA